TCTAAAAAAAGAGAGAGAGAGGTGGCTGGTAAAGGATGCTGTACCCAGAGAGGATATTGTATTGCCTAGAAATAGGAGAGTCTGGGTTTCTGTCCTTACAGAGGTGAATTCATGGTCAATGCCCTCAAGAAACTTACTATGTATAGGGGAAATGCTTATAAACACCTCATAGGAATGCAAGACGAGACCTCATGAGGGCTGAGTAGACTCACCTGCTATTTGCAGTGATGGCACCAAGGAAGCGGTGGCTCATGCTGCCCGGAAGTAGCATTAAAGGCAGGGGCTGAGCTGGAGAAGGGATGGAATAGGCATCCTATGTGGCAGGGAAGCTGGAGGAGTATCTTAGGATGTGGAAGAAGAAGGTGGTGGATGAGGCTGGGAAGAAAGTTTAGGGCTCAGTGATGGAGGACATCCTATGCCAGGTGGCCTCGTGCTAATACTCTGTGGGCAATGGGGAGCCACAGTGGGTTTTTGAGAAAGACAGCAGCCTCATCAAATTCACATCTTAGGAGATCTATGTGGTAGTGATGTGAAAGTGAGTTGGTTGTCGGGACCTGAGGCGGGGATTACCAGGGGGCTGTTGCAAATTTTGAACACAGTAAAATCTGAGGGTGAGAAGTGTGACTCAGGAATCCTTCAAATGAGCATCTCCTTGTCATCTCCAGCCCAAAACTCTGCTGTTCGTCCTTGCCACCAGAGGGTTATGGATTGGGCTAATCTAACTTCCTCTCACCTCCATGGTCAAGAGAGAGACTCAATTTTCCAAGAGCCAGGCTGTGACTAGGCTAAATCGAAGCCGTGGCCTATGTTGTGCAGAAGCAGAAATCCGCCCATCTTCTTTATATGACTCACTTTCACCAGGAGGAGTCACCTCTTAGGGGTCACTCAGTCAAGTCTGGTGATCTCTAAATAAAGACCCCACTCACATCGCAGTGGGAGAGGCGTAAATCCTCCAGAACAGTGCTTATTCAGAATGCTCCGCCTAGGTGAGCCCATTATAAACCTTAATGATGATCCAGTACCACTGATATTTTGGGGTTCATTCATTCAAATTATACCTCCCAGCTTGACTTTTTCTTTAAATCATGACGTATTACATCAAAAACCTCCCAAGACACAAAAGTCCAGGACCAATGGCTTCCCAGGGGAATTCTAACAAAGCTATTCTACTAAAGCTGTTCTGAAAGATAGAAAGGGACATAATACTTCCAAAGTCATTTTATGAGGCCAGCCTCATCTTAATTCCAAAACCAGACAAAGACCCCACCAAAAAGGAGAATTATAAACCAATATCCCTGATGAACACGGATGCAAAAATTCTCAACAAGATACTAGCCAATAGGATCCAACAGTACATTGAGAAGATTAATCACCATGACCAAGTGGGATTTATCCCCAGGATGCAAGGCTGGTTCAATACTCGTAAAACAATCAACACGATAAATCATATCAACAAGAGAAAAAACAAGAACCATATGATCCTCTCAATAGATGCAGAGAAAGCATTTGACAAAATACAGCATCCAAAATAACAGCATCAAAACTCTTCAGAGTGTAGGGATAGAGGGAACATTCCTCAGCATCTTAAAAGCCATCTATGAAAAGCCCACAGCAAATATCATTCTCAATGGGGAAGCACTGGGAGCCTTCCCCTAAGATCAGGAACACGACAGGGATGTCCACTCTCACCACTGCTATTCAACATAGTACTAGAAGTCCTAGCCTCAGCAATCAGACAACAAAAAGACATTAAAGGCATTCAAATTGGCAAAGAAGAAGTCAAACTCTCTGGCTTTGCAGATGACATGATACTATACCTAGAACACCCAAAAGACTCCACCCCAAGATTGCTAGAACTCATACAGCAATTCGGCAGTGTGGCAGGATACAAAATCAATGCCCACAAATCAGTGGCATTTCTGTACACTAACAATGAGACTGAAGAAAGAGAAATTAAGGAGTCAATCCCATTTACAATTGCACCCAAAAGCATGAGACCTAGGACTAAACCTAACCAAAGAACTAAAGGATCTATACCCTAAAAATTATAGAAGACTTCTGAAAGAAATTGAGGAAGACACAAAGAGATGGAAAAATATTCAAATGCTCATGGATTGGAACAATTAATATTGTGAAAATGTCAATGGTACCCAGGGCAGTTTGCACATTCAGTGCAATCCCTATCAAAATACCATAGACTTTCTTCAGAGAGTTGGAACAAATCATCTTAAGATTTGTCTGTAATCAGAAAAGACCCCGAATAGCCAGGGGAATATTGAAAAAGAAAACCAGAGCCAGGGGAATCACAATGCCAGATTTCAGGTTGTACTACAAAGCTGTGGTCATCAAGACAGTGTGGTACTGGCACAAAAACAGACACATAGATCAATGGAACAGAATAGAGAATCCAGAAATGGGCCCTCAGCTCTATGGTCAACTAATATTGGACAAAGCAGGAAAGACTATCCACTGGAAAAAGGCCAGTCTCTTCAATAAATGGTGCTGGGAAAATTGCGACAGCCACATGCAGAAGAATGAAACTAGACCACTCTCTTGCACCAGACACAAAGATAAACTCAAAATGGATGAAAGATCTAAATGTGAGACAAGATTCCATTAAAATCCTAGAGGAGAACACAGGCAACACCCTTTTTGAACTTGGCCACAGCAACTTCTTGCAAGATACATCCATGAAGGCAAGAGAAACACAAGCAAAAATGAACTATTGGGACTTCATCAAGATAAAAAGTTTCTGCACAGCCAAAGAAACAGTCAACAAACTAAAAGACAACCTACAGAACGGGAGAAGCTATTTGCAAATGACCTATCAGATCAAGGGCTAGTATCCAAGATCTATAAAGAACTTATTAGGGATCCCTGGGTGGAGCAGCGGTTTGGCGCCTGCCTTTGCCCCAGGGCACGATCCTGGAGACCCGGGATCGAATCCCACGTCGGGCTCCCGGTGCATGGAGCCTGCTTCTCCCTCTGCCTGTGTCTCTGCCTCTCTCTCTCTTTCTCTCTCTGTGACTATCATAAATAAATAAAATTTAAAAAAGAAATTTAAAAAAAAGAAGATGTGGTCTATGTATCAATGGAATATTACTCAGCCATTAGAAATGACAAATACCCACCATTTGCTTCAACGTGGATGGAACTGGAGGGTATTCTGCTGAGTGAAGTAAGTCAGTCAGAGAAGGACAAACATTCTATGTTCTCATTCATTCGGGGAATATAAAAAATAATGAAAGGGAATAAAGGGGAAAGGAGAGAAAATGAGGAAAATATCAGTGAGGGTGACAACACATGAAAGACACCTAACTCTGAGAAACGAACAAGGGGTAGTGGAAAGGGAGGTGGGCGGGGGTTGGGGGTGACTGGATGACGGCACTGAGGGAGACACTTGACTGGATGAGCACTGGGTGTTATGCTATATGTTGGCATATCGAACTTCAATAAAAAATATATACCAAAAAATTAAAAAATTAAAAATTTTTAATAAACTAAAATAAAAATAAATAAATCATGACATAATAGAAATATCACACCACCGTCTTGGTTTGAGGGTTCAAATAATATAGTCACCATAGCTATGGGCAAAGTCACTTAACACCTTACATCCTCAATTTTCCTACCTGTAAAATAATTTGGACACATGGTAGCCACAGTGCCCTCCTGCTGTGGTACCCCAAACACTGGCCCAGGTGCTAGATCCAGTGAAACCTGCTGCATTCATGCACTGGGGTAGAGTTCTGACTTGCTTGGGTACCCAGGCAAGCTACTTTATGTCTCTGTACCTTAGTCCCCTCATCCAAAAAATGGCAATGATAGTAGAGCCTAACTCACACTTTGGAAGTTGACAAAATGGGTGAATACAAGTGAAGAACTTAGAAGAGAATCTAACACATAGAGAGTGCTCAGAAAGTAGTAGTTATTGAGTAACCAGAAGGTAGAAGCACCCCACGTATCTATCTATGATGAGTGGATGAACAAAATGTGGTCTGTCCAAATGATGGAATATCATTCAGCTCTAAGAAGGAAGGAGATTGTGGTTCAGCAGTCAAGCATCTGCCCTCAACTCAGGGCATGACTTCCGGGATGGAGTCCTACATCAGGCTCACTGCATGGAGCCTGCTTCTCCCTCTGCCTGTGTCTCTGCCTCTCTCTGTGTATCTCTCATGAATAAATAAATAAAATCTGAAGAAGAAGAAGAAGAAGAAGAAGAAGAAGAAGAAGAAGAAGAAGAAGAAGAAGGAGGAGGAGGAGGAGGAGGAGGAGGAGGAGGAGGAGGAGGAGGAGGAGGAGGAGGAGAAGGAGAAAAGAGATTCTGACTTGTGCCACGACAAGGAGGAATCTTGGAGATGTTATGCTAAGGAAAATAAACCAATCACAAAAGGACAAATACCGTGTGATTCCACCCTCTGTGATGTATCCAGCATTGTCAAATTCACAGGAACAGAAAGTAAAATGGTGGTTGCCAGGGGAATGGGGAAATAAGGACCTTTGTTTAATGGGGACAGAGTTTCAGCCTTGGAAGATGAGAAAGTTCTGGAGATGGATGGTGGTGATGGTTGAACAACAGTGTGATGTACTTAATGCCATTGAACGTATACTTAAAAATGGTGAAAACTATACATTTTAGGTTATGTATATGTTACCACCACTTAAAAAGAAAGTATTGGGGTGCCTGGGTGGCTCAGTCAGTTAAGCGTCTGACTTTTGGTTTTACCTCAGGTCGTGATCTCACCAAGTCCTACATCGGGCTCTGTGATCAGTGAGGAGTCTGCTTCTCTCCTTCTCCCTTTCTTTCTTTCTTTCTTTCTTTCTTTCTTTCTTTCTTTCTTTCAGACAGGGAATACTTTATTCAAACCCATCAGAGAAATGGACAGCTTGGGTCTGTAACAAAGCGTCGTGTTTTAAAGCATAGGTCAGTAATTGTATATGAGAGTATGCACTGCTACATACAAATTAACTGATCAGAGCACAACTTTTCAGTGTTCAAAACAGAATAAGCTTCCCTGTAAAAGCAGCACCTTTGTGACATTTTTAACTTTAGTATTCCTCTCCTTCTTCTTCACCCTCTCCTTCAACAGAATCCACACCAACCTCCTCATAATCCTTCTCCAGGGCAGCCATGTCCTCACGGGCCTCAGAAAACTCTCCTTCCTCCATGCCCTCACCCACATACCAGTGAACAAAGGCACGCTTGGCATACATCAGGTCAAACTTGTGGTCCAGGCGAGCCCAGGCCTCAGCAATGGCTGTGGTATTGCTCAGCATGCACACAGCTCGCTGTACTTTGGCTAGGTCTCCACCGGGTACCACAGTGGGAGGCTGGTAATTAATGCCCACTTTGAATCCAGTGGGGCACCAGTCCACAAACTGGATGGTACTCTTGGTCTTGATGGTGGCAATGGCAGCATTGACATCTTTGGGAACCAATCACCACGGTACAACAAGCAGCAAGCCATGTATTTACCATGGCGAGGGTCACATTTCACCATCTGGTTGGCTGGCTCAAAGCATGCATTGGTGATCTCTGCTACAGAAAGATGTTCATGGTAGTCTTTCTCAGCAGAGATGACGGGGCATATGTGGCCAGAGGGAAGTGGATGCGGGGATAGGGCACCAGGTTGGTCTGGAACTCCGTCAGATCCACATTCAGGGCTCCATCAAATCTGAGGGAAGCAGTGATGGAGGTCTGTCCCTCTTTCCATCTCCCACCCATGTGCCCGATCTATCTCTCTTTTTCTCTCTCTCAAATAAATAATTGAAACAAAAGAAGGAATGAATGAAAGAAGGAAGGAAGGGAAGAAAAGGAAAGAAAGAAGAAGAAAGAAAGAAAAAGAAAGAAAGAAAGAAAGAAAGAAAGAAAGAAAGAAAGAAAGAAAGAAAGAAAGAAAGAAAGAAAGAAAGAAACTAGCTACTGTCATCTCTAGTCTCAGCTGTCTGGAGAGTTTCTGTAAAGAAGAGAGCCCAGTTGCCACCATCACTGCCAGCCCCTAACTCTGGCAGATAGGGTCAAATCTCCTCGAACCTTCTCAGTTACTTCTGTTATCTTGTCCCCTTAAACCCAGTCCCACCCTTCCATGCTGGGAGAACTATGGAACAGACCTCCTTGAGATGGAGTTGAGAAGAGGGGGAGGAAAAGCAGTGGGCCCCAGAGAGCCCCACCCTCACCACCCTACTCCTGTCCACCACCATGCTGAAAGTTTCTCTAGAGGCTGGAAGTCTGTTCTCATGGCATCCTCTCTGATTAGCACCAGGCAAAGGGGAGCTCTGGGAGGAGCGATGCTGAGTCTCTGGTGACTCGTTGAAAGCCTTTAGGTCCCACTTATGCCCTCAGCAAAGGCACGTTCCCCTGAAACCCACAGAGGGAGGCCCAGCAGGCTGTGCCTTGGGCAGATGATTCTCACTTACAGGCCAAAAACCCTGGCACTGGACTTCACTGATGGAATAGTTCTTCACATTTTACTTAATAAATCTTTACAAAAGTTCTGGTGTGGGGGCAGCTTGGGTGCTGGGATATTTAAAAGCTCTCTGAGTAATTCTAATGGGCAACCAATGTTTGACACCACTGGCCCGAAGTTCACCTAGGAAGCCCATGGCCTCCATGAGCAATATGGGAACATCAGCAGAAGTTCGTTAAAAGTTGCTAAGGAAGCCCAGCTACCAGAAGGTGATGGTTTCATGCAGGAGGGTCACAGACCAGGTGGTATTCTATTTTTGTGGTCAGGAGCCGTTTTCGTGGAGCAGTGTGGTCTGTGCACACACAGTGACATGAAGGCCCTGCCTTACCTGTTGAAGGTATGGTTTTATAAAATATAAGACTGTTGCCCAAATGGCCACTTTTCTGCCAGTCATGGTTGTCTGGGCTTTCCCCTTTGGCTTGTCCTGTAACTGCTGAGGGGTGTGGTCAAAACAGATCCTGTCACATCCTGCGCGCATCTGCTGACTCCAGCGTTTTTGATGTAATAACAAAGTTGTCAGATGTGTTTCTTCATGCCCTGAAGTCTGCTGTCCCTTCTGTTTGGATCTGTGTGTGGCGGCCAGAGGCTGACTCACTTCCCTTAGCTTACCGAATTCTTTCTACCGCTTCCTGGATCAACAAACCCTGGCGGGCCAGTTCCTCCACCAGAGTTCATGGAAAGGTATGGAAGCCACCAGAGTTAACAGTAAGAGCCTTGGGTTCTCACTCAAGGGAGATGGCATTGTAGGGACAGCCGGCTGACATGTCTGGGCCTTGAGATCTCTGTAGACAAGATGTAGAAATACAAAATGTGGTTAATTCTAACTCAGCAATTTGAGGACAGGACCAGAATGTTCATCTGGGTTGTGTACACGACTTAAGCGTTCTGCTGAGCAACTCCAACACTAACCAGCTTTTGTTCAGTCATTCAAAACATATTCATTGCCAGATACCGTTCCAGGTTCCTGAAAAATGGCTGAGGCGAGACAGACGTGGACTCTGCCTCTTTTTTTCTTTTTCTTTTTAAGAGCAATTTTAAGTTTACAAGATTGATAGGAAGGTTCAGAGATTTCCCATACACACTCTGCCCCAGCCCCCATGCATAGACTTCCCCATTATCAACATCACTCACCAGAATGGTACTTTTTTTTTTAAACCAAGGAGGAATCTAAATTGACATATCATGATCATCCAACACCCACAGTTTATTGTAGGGTTCACTCTTGATGTCCTACATTCTATGGGTTTGAACAAACATATAAGGACATGTATCCATGGGGACGCCTGGGTGGCTAAGCATTTGAGCGTCTGCCTTGGCTCAAAGCATGATCCTGGGTCAGAGGATAGAGTCCCGCATCGGGCCCCCTGTAAGGAACCCACTTCTCCCTCTACCTGTGTCTCTGCCTGTGTCTGTGTCTCTCATGAATGAATAAATAAAATCTTTTTTTTAAAAAAAAGGACATGTATCCACCACTAGAATACCATGCAGAGTGTCTTCACTGCCCTAGTAATCCTCTGTACTCTGCCAACGAATGCCCCCTCCTCAACGTCTGGCAACCACTGATCCTTTTACTGTCTCCACAGTTTTGCCTTTTCTAGAATGTCAAATACTTGAATCATACAATTTGCAGCCTTTTCAGATTGACTTCTTCCACTTAGTACTATGTGTTGTTGTTGTTGTTGTTTTTAAGATTTTATTTATTTACTCATGAGAGACACAGAGAAAGAGGCAGAGACACAGGCAGGGGAGCTTGATGCCCAGACCCAGGATCATGCCCTGGGCCAAAGGCAAGATGCTCAGCTGCTGAGCCACCCAGGCGCCCCCACTTAGTACTATGTATTTAAATTTCTTCCACATCTTTCATGGCCAGATAGCGCCAAACAATATTCCATTGTCTGGATTGACCATAAAGTTTATTTACTCATTCACCTACCAAAGGACATCTGGACTGCTTCCAAGTTTGGGAAATGATGAATCAGAGTGCTAGAAACATCATGTGCAGGTTTTTTGTGAACATGTTTTCGGCTCCCTTGGGGAAATGCCAAGGAGCATATAGCTGGATCATATGGTAAGAGCACATTAGGCTGTGTAAGAAACCTCCAAAAATGTCTTCCAAAGTGGCAGTACCATTTTGCATTCCCCCTGTCAATAAAGAAGAGTTTTTGTTGCTCCACATTCTCAAGAGCATTCAGCGTTGTCAGTGCTCCAGATTTTGACCATTCTAATAGGTATGTAGTGGTATCTCAGCATCGTTTTTATTTGCGCTTCCCAATGACACCATGTAGAGCCTCTTTTCATCCACTTGTTTGCCATCTGTATACCTTCTTTGGTAAGGTATCTCTAATGCCTTTGGCTTATTTTACTTTTTTTAAAGATTTTTATTTATTTATTCGAGAGAGAGAGAGAGAGAGGCAGAGACACAGGCAAAAAAAAAGAGAGAGAGAGAGAGAGACAGGCAGAGGGAGAAGCAGGCTCCATGCAGAGAGCCTGATGTGGGACTCGATCCTGGGACTCCAGGATCACGCCCTGAGCCAAAGGCAGGCACTAAACCGCTGAGCCACCCAGGCTGCCCCCTTTGGCTTATTTTTTTTTAAATAATAAATTTATTTTTTATTGGTGTTTAATTTGCCAACATACAGAATAACACCCAGTGCTCATCCCGTCAAGTGCCCCCCTCAGTGCCCGTTGCCCATTCACCCCCACCCCCCGCCCTCCTCCCCTTCCACCACCCCTAGTTCGTTTCCCAGAGTTAGGAGTCTCTCATGTTCTGTCTCCCTTTCTGATATTTCCTACCCATTTCTTCTCCCTTCCCTTCAATTCCCTTTCACTATTATTTATATTCCCCAAATGAATGAGAACATATAATGTTTGTCCTTCTTCGATTGACTCATTTCACTCAGCGTAATACCCTCCAGTTCCATCCACGTTGAAGCAAATGGTGGGTATTTGTTGTTTCTAATGGCTGAGGAATATCCCATTGTATACATTGATCCATTCCTCTGTCGATGGACACCGAGACTCCTTCCACAGTTTGGCTATTGTGGACATTGCTGCTAGAAATATCGGGGTGCAGGTGTCCCGGTGTTTCATTGCATCTGAATCTTTGGGGTAAATCCCCAGCAGTGCAATTGCTGGGTCGTAGGGCAGGTCTATTTTTAACTCTTTGAGGATCCTCCACACAGTTTTCTAGAGTGGCTGCACCAGTTCACATTCCCACCAACAGTGCAAGAGGGTTCCCCTTTCTCCGCATCCTCTCCAACATTTGTTGTTTCCTGCCTTGTTAATTTTCCCCATTCTCACTGGTGTGAGGTGGTATCTCATTGTGGTTTTGATTTGTATTTCCCTGATGGCAAGTGATGCGGAGCATTTTCTCATGTGCATGTTGGCCATGTCTATGTCTTCCTCTGAGATTTCTGTTCATGTCTTTTGCCCATCTCATGATTGGATTGTTTCTTTGCTGTTGAGTTCAATAAGTTCTTTATAGATCTTGGATACTAGCCCTTGAGCTGATAGGTCATTTGCAGATAGCTTCTCCCATTCTGTAGGTTGTCTTTTAGTTTGGTTGACTGTATCCTTTGCTGTGCAAAAGCTTCTTATCTTGATGAAGTCCCAATAATTCATTTTGCTTTTGTTTCTTTTGCCTTCGTGGATGTATCTTGCACGAAGTTACTGTGGCCGAGTTCAAAAAGGGTGTTGCCTGTGTTCTCCTCTAGGATTTTGATGGAATCTTGTCTCACATTTAGATCTTTCATCCATTTTGAGTTTATCTTTGTGTATGGTGAAAGAGAGTGGTCTAGTTTCATTCTTCTGCACGTGGATGTCCAATTTTCCCAGCACCATTTATTGAAGAGACTGTCTTTCTTCCAGTGGATCGTCTTTCCTCCTTTATTGAATATTAGTTGACCATAGAGCTGAGGGTCCACTTCTGGATTCTCTATTCTGTTCCATTGATCTATGTGTCTGTTTTTGTGCCAGTTTCACACTGTCTTGACCACAGCTTTGTAGTACAACCTGAAATCTGGCATTGTGATGCCCCCAGATATGGTTTTCTTTTTTAAAATTCCCCTGGCTATTCGGGGTCTTTTCTGATTCCACACAAATCTTAAGATGATTTGTTCCAACTCTCTGAAGAAAGTCCATGGTATTTTGATAGGGATTGCATTAAACGTGTAAATTGCCCTGGGTAACATTGACATTTTCACAATATTAATTCTGCCAATCCATAGGCATAGAATATTTTAAAAACCAGGTTGTTTGG